GCAATTCCGCCGCCTTCTGTGCTTGGAGGCTAGCTAGCTCCTCCAGGAGGCGTTCTTCCACGCCCACTCCTCCTCCTCCGAGAGCAGACTGGTTCACTGCTGCCCATGCGTCGCGGAACTTGTTGTCCTCCGCTGTGATCTAGGTGCCCAGCGTAGACAGGGAGGGGGTGGGCACGTGATGTCGACCAATGAGACCGGGGGGCACAAACACAAGCAGCGGGCTTGAGTGGGTGCCGGTAGAACCATCTGCTGTGGGAGCGTGCATGTGTTTTCCGGTAAGAGTAGAAGCCAATTGGTTGAAATGCGCACCGTGTTGAATTCTGCTGATGTCTGTGCATAGCCCTACGTGCTAACGAGCCTCGTGTCACATGTTTTGTCGCCAAACAGTTCCTCTGTGTTCCACAGCTATCTCTACGTACCTATTGACACCCCACCCTCAAGATGAAAGGTAAAGAAACAAAACTGTCAGCGCAACGGGTGAAAGCGCAGATTTTAGGTGTATCTCATGCACACGGTAATCTTGCCAAAAGCCTTACATCGGAGACAACTACACCGTCCTGAAACCCCGTCCTCCTTGTTCTTCCTCCAAACCATCCCGCTTTGTCAACTCTACATCCTACCACGTCATGACAGGAGGAACGAGCCCAGAGTCACAGATTGCCGCCACGTGTTTTCACTCGTACTGTAGCGCGTTGGCTCCCCACCAGTAGACCGGAAAGACTTTGTACATTTGTTCGACTATCACCACAAAACATACTCGAGAAGACTACTTGTATTCATGATGGATTACAGAGGTGACAGCTCAACGAAGTGCCTCAGCGGAAAGCAAGTGTGTCTTCGTAGGGGTCTCGGAACAAAGATCAACCGGTGAACACCGCCGACCTGAAAACAAATTCATCGGTATGGCGAGAACGAGTTAAAAGTTCTTCCAACAGACAGGTGGACTACACACACCCGCGTACACACACGGCGGCACATCATTTGCATCTGCATCCATCCTGTACTACATCATGCACGATCAACAAATGTGCACGTATTTTGGGCTTGCCTCCTGCTGCATCTTGAGGAGCTCCTCGTTGCGGCTGGTCTCGAGGCCCGCCATCATCTCTCGCGTCCTGTGCCCGCACAATTGCACACGATCGCCAAAAGACGAAACGGTTAAGTACTGAACGGAGTTCGTTGAGCTAGCCGCAGATGTACGTTTACCCTTGCGTGAGTCGCAAAACAGGATACGACACATCTCAATCATGCACCAGTCCCCCTCGACGAGAACAAAGGCAGCCTTTCACGGCTCACAAGTGCACCCGAAGAAGAGCATGTTTCTCCTGGATGAGGCATGAGACGTGCCCCTTGCCAGAGTACTGCTGTACTACCCCCCATAACTCCATAACCTGCGAGATGCTTTCGTCGAAAAAAGTTTACCTTGGTGTGGGGGTGCGACACGCGAGATACTTCTTGGGTAGTGGTCGGGACCATCATCCGTTGCGAAGTGTACGACACAAGTATTTGTTGACAAGGAGAAGGAGCTGGTAGTGCCAACTTTCCCTCGTAATAACGCAGGGTCGGGTTCACCGCAAAATATGGGTTTCGCTGTCACCGACAGCGAGAGGTGGTTTGATGTACAATGTACGAGGGAATCAGAATAAGCTGGTCGAGGCCTCCGAGCA